TTAACCGAATCGATGACAGCTCCCAAATGGGCTATGCGGGTGGAAGGAGTGAGTTGGCTCTTCTCCCAGTTGACAAGGAAACCGTGAGCCTGCAGCACTGATAGGGTGGTGACAGTGTCACGCGTAGCCTGACTTCGGCTAGGTGAAACAATTAAAATATCATCAAGGTAACAATGAACTCTGATGGGAAAATGTCTGAGGTGGGCCGCCAGAGCTGCTAACACCTTAGTGAAAGTCCTTGGGGCTGAAACAAGGCCAAAGGGAAGGGCCACATACTGGAAATGCTGATTGTTATAACAAAACCTCAAATATTTGGAATGCGAGGGGAGAATAGGGATATGGAGATATGCCTCGGATAAATCAACAGATGTTAGCCAGTCTCCCTTTCTGATGCTCTGCAAAATAGATTGAAGGGTGTGCATTTTAAATTTATGCCGGACAATATACCGATTAAGCCTCTTTAAATCCAAAATGGGCCTCCACCCCCCAGAATGCTTAGGAACTAAAAAGAGAAGAGAATAAAATCCCTCTCCCCGTTGTGAGGGAGGCACGGGTTGGATAGCTCTAATATGAGATAGATGTTTGATAGCTGATGACATGAGTGCCCGCTTGGTCGGGTTTCTGGAAAGGGGAGAAACCATAAAGTGGTCTGGTGGTTGAGAATGAAACTGGAGAGAGAGACCGAATTTGACAGTGTCTCTGACCCATGTATCTGAAATGGATGTTTCCCATTGGTCAGCAAAATGCCTAAGGCGACCGCCAATGGGATATGGGGTGGAAATTTTATCTGGGCCTCCGGGACGCCCTGTTCCCTGTACCCCTGAAGGGCCTCCTGTAACTGCCTCCCCTTCTACCTCTGTCACCTGAGTCGCCCCTGTCTTGATAGGCTGACCGAAAGGACGGCGAGGTCTGGTATCTAGGGGCGAAGGAATGTTGGAAGGAGGGACGAAAGGAGCCCCTCCGAAAGGGTTGGGACCCTCTGGCTTCTGGTTTACGAAAGAGCGACGGAAGAAATTTCTTCTTGTTGCGACTCTCCATTAATAATGGTTCTAAGGCAGGCCCGAACAGCTTCCCTCCCGAAATGGGGGCTGAGGCTAACTTGGACTTATTTTTGACATCGGCGTGCCAATGTCGGAGCCAAAGGAGCCGGTGGGCAGCCACGTGTGAGGATATGGCCCGGGCCGAGAACTTCACGGAATGAAAGGTGGCGTCGGCCGCAAATTCCGCCGTGGCCGTGAGCTTCGCAATGTCCTGCTGGGCTCTGGTGTTTGAAGCAGGAACATGTTGTTTGAGTTGTTTGAGCCACCTTATGGAAGAGCGGGTAAAAAAGGAGGCCGCTGTGGCCGACCTTATAGCCCAGGCATCTGACTGATGCGCCCGCCGGAGCGCCAACTCCACCCGCTTATCTTCAGGTTTAAGCGCCTCCAGAGCGTCAGTGGGATTAGAAGAAGAAGAGGCCAGTCTAACGATGGGATCATCTACCTCCGGAGTAGCCAGCATTGCTGAGAATTCTGGGTCGAGATTGAACAACCTCTTGTCCTGATTAGAGGGGGCAGGCGAGGGGCCCGTCGCCGCCAGTTGCCTTGCTACCAGATCGGAGAAGATTGGGGGGGTTGGGATTACCTCAGTTTCAATGACCGGATGACTGAATATGGAGTCTTCGTGACCCCCCGGGGTAGTAGGAGACGGCTCAGAGGTGGAGTGAGGAATAAGACCTGAAATGTTCTTTGCTTTAAATAATAAGGATTTAAACAACTGAGGTTTGAATAGGCCCACTATGGTTGGTTGCTCAGGGGAAATGCCCTCGTCCTCTGACATTTCCCCTTCCATGGGGTCCACCTCAAATAGGGGCTCAGAATAGTGCAGAGAGCCTCTATCCGAACCTTCCTCTTCCCCGAAAGACTGAAAATCCCCTTCCTCCTCCACCAGGGCCTCCTCACCCTCCTAGCCTGGAGCTTCCAATTGGAGAGGTACCTGTCCCTGCTGAGGTGCCGATCCGGTGAAAGTTCTTGCAGACACGGATTCGAACTCAGATGCCATGCCTTGAGACTCCGACCTTGACAGTTGCTGCATGCCGTTAGCAATCCCCTGACAGATGGCGAGTTGCATCCATTCCTTAATACTGTCTGGGATAATAGAAGAAGCCGGGTCTTCATGTCGTAGACCTGCTGCGGTTGGTGTAAAGGTCGCTTCGGGAGCGCGAGAGGTCTGGTGACTCCGTGTTGAACTACACCTGGAAGGGGAAGACTGTCCTGGCGGGGGAGGTTGGGCAGAAATAGGGGGGGGGGGGGGCAAGAGTTACAGCAGGCGAGTCCTTAGATCGTTTGCTAAATTCTTTCTCAAGGGCCTTATGGCGCCTCAAGGCATCCCTTTGAGAGGCACTGGAGGAATCCTTGTCCCTTGTGCGTAAATAGTGGGTCTTGGACTTGGCCTTTAAGGAAGGCCCGCTAGGATTACCCTCTGCCATGATACCAAAGGTATAAAGAAGGCGGTTGGTGCGCCTAGGAGTTCGGCCTATCAGTCAAGCCGGTTTTCCTAAGGTTGGGCCACGTCCCCCTTTTAGAAATGAAAGGGAATTTCCCTCAACTATATTTCTACTACTAATAGCTTAAAAATAAATCAAAAAGTTTTTGTTTTTTTTAAAGGGATGGAGTTGCAATATTTTTCAATTCCTATTATTTATTATCTATTATTTATTATTCTTTATCTTTTATTATATTTTTATTATATTTTTATTGTTTTTTTTATGGGCGGAGCCCAAAAAGGATAATTAAATTTGAAAGGAAACCTATAAATAACTAACTAAAAATTAGTAACGAAAAAGAGGGAAGCCAAATGTAACGCTGAGGCCAGTGATAAAAATAAAGCTTATATATATATAGATAAGTATCCACACACCAAAAGGTAAGAAGGTGAGAAGATAAGAAGGCCTCCTAAGGCAGCCTCCCAGCGAACATAGGAGGTACGTGCCTGCGTCTCTGAGGGAGTTGCGGGCAATCAGGAAAAAAAGGGCAACCAACTAAAAGTAAAGAGTGCAGGAGAACAGCAGGATACGGAATCACGGTGTTCTCACCAAATTCAGACTCCACGCGGCCTATTTGACTCGCTGTGGGCCTACCAGAACCACGCAACTTCAAGGGTTGTTCAAAATGGCGCCGACCACGAGGCGCGCCTAAAATGGCCGCCCGTCTTGGCGCTGCTAACCCAGAGACGCACCAGCTCTTAAGCTCAAGAAAGAAGGCACGAAAATAAAAGGGCTGGGAGAAGAAGCGGAGCTTCCTCTAATTGCGTTGGTGGGGGGAAGACGCAACGAATCGCTAAATAAATATAGCGAAAAAATGGCTGGCTTTAAGAAGCGAGGCTTGGGAGCAGGCAGAGGGAAAAGGAGGGGGGGGGGGGGGGCAAAGGCTCCGACACCCCCTATCTCCCCCTAAGGGCGAGAAGGTATCGCCACTACGATAATTTGGGACCACACAGCAAGCACTAGGACAAGGATTGAAAGGTATATAAAGGCAAACCTGAGAAGATCAATTGAAAAGGAACCTGAAACAGCCAAGGAACAAAGAAAGCTGCCTGTCTTGTCGAAGGCTGAGCTAAAACTGGGGGAATGCATGGAGGAGTCACGTGGAGGAGGAGGAGTGTTCCTTCAATTATAGCTCAGCCTGTACGACATGAGACTGGAGCACCTCCCACTCTCTGGATGCTCGCAGCAGTTCTACGGAGAATTACATGGTTGAAGCACCAGGGTATGAAAGTAAAAAGCCTAACACAGTATATAAATTGAACAAGGCCATTTATGGGCTGAAGCAGTCAGCCAGGAATTGGAATATCTGTTTAGATACTGCATTGAAGGGTCTTGGGTTCAAGAGTTGCAAGGCTGATGGTTGCATATATACTGGAAAGTTACAAGGTGGGGATTGTCAACTATTAGCATTTGTGGATGATCTTTGCTTCATTGCAAAGGATGTATCACAGGTAAATTAATTTGCTAATAAGTTGGAGAAAAAAATTGAATTAAAGAATTTGGGAAAAATATTAATTGGATTTATGTCTCTTCCAGTCATGAAGGAAAGGGTGTCAGCATATTCATGAACTGGTATGGTAACAAGGTCAGCCAATGAATAGACATAGGAACTAAGTCAGCCAATGAGGACTGTTTGGAAACTGAAACTGGAAGAAACATAGGCGTCGCTCTATATCAAGCTCTGAAGCTCTGAGTCTTGTCTGCAACTGCTGAATTGAAACTGAAACTGTTCTCTCCTCTGCTTGTGTTTTTGCCTGTAACTCTCTACCACATTGGAAGAACCTACATTGGCATTGTACATTTTACTCATATTATTATGTACTGTATATAAAGAAGTTAATGAATCCTGCTGAATCAGTCATCTGTGTGAGCTTTCTGGATTTGAATTTCTGCTGCAAAATCTAACAAAGTTAATTAGCATAATTTGTAATTCAACTGCAAAGCAAAGTTTAGTAAAAGTTGAAAATGTTGATTTAAAACATATCAGTCAGCTGGCTAATATAGTATGGTTAAGTGACCGCTAGTGCCTATAAATGATAATAAAGGAGATAAAATCTTCCTATGTGTGTATATGTGAGGGAATATAATAGTATGCTTTGCCCAGCAGATCTGTGTGCATTTTGTAATTTTAGAACAGGCCACCTTCTTCTCAATTCTTGCCCCTTTTGAAAATGATGTTTGGTTGTTGGGTTGTGAGTTTTTTTAATGCTAATTTGGCTATCTTTATGGTTGAAGAGTACAACAGTTAACCAGTTCAACTTTTACTTACTCTTTGGAAGATAAAAGGGCCAAGGATAAGGTGTCCAATAGTTTCTCAGGCCTCCAGTGATTGTCCTTGTCCTGCTGCTTGACAAGTTACATGGGTAAAAAGAATTTCATCTTTTGATTTCTGCTGACCAGGCAAACGTTAAAGGCAAAACACACTGAGGGCAATTGTTCTGCTACATAAATAAATTGAATTGTTTTAAATACTTACTGAGAGGTTAGACAAGAACAAAAATACAGCGACATTCTTCAAGATGCTTCTTTTGCTGTTGACAGAGAACTTTCTCCAAGTGAATGAAAAATCCGGAGAGGATGGAGGGACTGGAATCTTGTTTTGATTGATGTTTTCACGGAAAGCACAACTGGAACTGTTCTCAGATGGATAACTATTTCCATAAAATGTGGGGGACAACTTTCCATTTGTTCCATTATAGATTTCTTTGTAAGAAGCTGTAGGGGAGAGATTGCTTCCACTGGACACTGTTAATATTCGCAGAGTTTTAATGTCATAATTATTCTTCCCATGCTCACGATGTATAGATTCAATTATGAAGAGATTCTGAATATATTTCTCAACGATAACAAGCACAGAGTAGGGCAAACTGAACCAAGTATATGCTGGGTGGGACTGAGCACAAATAATTGCAAGAATAGAACCCCAAGAAAGAAGCCAGGAGCCTGAGGCTGTCCCCACCAAGAGGTCCGCATCAAGTTTTCTAGCTGGGTTTTTAGAAATATCCAGTGAATTATCTTCAAGTCTATAGATTAGAATCGCCACAACGCCTGCTGCACACATAAGTGCCAGTACTGTGATGGCATACAAGTAAAACATAATAAGTGCTAGTTCACTCTTCAATTTTGAACGCCCAATCTGAATAAGATAAACAACTACAACGGCTATTGTTGTAATAAATACTACTAGACCTAAGGTGCTGCCTATTGCTGTGCCCTGAAACTTGAATGGCCTCTTATGTGGCTGTAGGTATTCAACTTTACGCCCAATGTTTTTCCAGACCACGTACAGCATTGTGGATGCTAAAATGTGATACTCAGTATTGAAGGGGTATAAATAATATATTCCTTGGGAAAATATGGAACAGAGGGTGGTGGAGGTACAGTTGCAAAGTGGTGTATGGTCATCCAGTTCTATGCAGAAAGAAAACAAAGAATTAAATCATTTCTTAATCAGAGTGCCTAAAATTCCTATCTAAAGGAATTCCTATCTAAAACATTCCTAAAACAGGATACAAAAACTGTTATATTTTAGCATAATGTATTATGAAATGTATTATTATAGTCCCTGACTTACAACAGTTCATTTAATGACTGTTTGAAGTTACAACTGCATTGAAAAAAGTGACTTTTGATCATTTTTCACACTTATGACCATTGCAACGTCCCCATGTTACATGATCAAACTTCAGATTCATGGCAACTGACTCATAGTTATAACAGTTACAGTGTCCTGGGATCATGTGATCCCCTTTTGTGACCTTCTAACAATCAAAGTCAATGGAGAAGTCAGATTCACTTAATTAATCAAGCGGTTAACTTAATAACTGCAGTTATTCACACAATAATTCTGGCAAGAAAGGTCATAAAATAAGATTAAAACTCACTTAACAACTCAACAAAATTCAATTTAGCAACAGAAATTTGGGGCTAAATTGTGGTCGTAAGTTGAGGACTATCTTTAAGTATTGTATAGTCAAGGACAAATAATATTCATATTTTAAATGAGATATGATAAGTCTCTTAAAGTGATATTTTTTCCAAATTTGCATGCTAAGTTGTGACAAAAAGTTAACAGAATAACAGAATTGCCAGGGACCTCATAGGTCTTCTAGTGTCGGGATTTCCATTGTTGGCCTGGTGCCTTGCTGGCATCCTGCCATCGAAGAGGAAGGGAGGGAGGAGGAATTTGGGGCAATCTACACCTGTGTATCAACGGATGGGAAATGGGGAGGGGGAACTGACTTGTGAAGAAGGCCAGAGCCATTTGTACTGGTTACGCTGGGCCTCTTCAAGGCTGTTTGCCCTGGGTGTGAAATTCCAGCAGCCTAAACAACCCAGTTTCCCACAAAATTGCTCCGATCCTGGATTGTATGGCAGCGGACCAGACATTGGGGAAGGGGAGGGATGGGGGAATGTTGGGTTTGGCTTTTTATATCAGTGAGCAGGAACTTCAGATTCTGCCACATCTTCCTAGAACCAATATTTTTAGTAAAAGTTATTTTCACTTCAATCAATTGGAGTTTCCTAAATGATTGTTTTGGGGCAGGTCTGACATTAAACAGAACCTGCAATTTTGGTCTACCTGGAGAAGATATTACCTCTACCGTACATACAATGTCGACCATACATACAATGTCGACTAAAGGGAGCGACCAGGAAAAAATGGAAACCTAGGGAGAGGGGTTGATGAGGACCCCTCTTGGAGTACTGGATCTTTCTGAGTGGCTAGAGGAGATGAGGCCCTGATAGTCCCTAGGGCTCGGAAGAAAAGAGAAGTGGATAGGGAAACCCTGGGAGGTGGCGTTTACCTGTGGGGACAGGGGAAGGCACCAACATGGAAAGTAAGCTGAGCTGGAGGGACTGGACGAAGAAGATGATGATGAGTGTGGAGAAAGTGATCGAGCGAACTGGATGATGAACCAGGCCATAAAATTAATGCAGAGGGCCTTTTGAGAACCTCAAAGCATGCAAAACCCTAGTTCAAATGGGGCAACCTGATGCGCATTCCCCCACCACAGTCAGTGACAGAACATCCATTCCCGCTGCAATGGTTCAGCACCTGAACCAGACCAACAGTAGCGGCTGCCATCACCCCAGTGTTGGGGGTGGCTGCCCAGCAGGGAGTACCTGCAGGATCAGCCCCAGGTAGGAGGGACTGTATGGCACACACACACCCCGGTTGTGAAGTTTAACAGAGGCTCCCAGCAACTGGGATTCTTCCTGGCCCAGGTCTAGACATGGTGGATTATGGCCCAGAAATCCCCACCAAAGGAGCCAAGGTGAGATGCATTACTATGGCTCTGGAGGGGTTAGTTCCCCAGTGGATAGTGACCCTCTACAATGACATCCCATAGTTGAGAAAAACTGCTTCATGGATGCCTTCTGAGAGCAATTCGAAGATTCCTTGGTCACAAGGAGGGGTGTGGCTGAATACACCCAATAATTTTGTGGCCTGGTGTGCCCACTGACAGACCACAAGACATCCTCATTAGCTGCTTCAAGGATGGGCTGAGTGATGAAATCTGTAACATCTGCATTTCTGGGAGTACCCCCTGCCCCACTTTCCATGGATGGTATGTCTTGGCAGAGGAGGTGGAGTTCAACCTGGCCCAGAACAAACACCAACTGGGATACGGATGATGAAAGCCTTTCCCTGAGAAGTGGGGTGCCCCAAACTACTGACAAGTACCCAAGGCCCACAACAGCACTCAACTATTTGCTTCAAGTGCAGAAGGGAGGGGCACTGGGCAGCCAAGTGCAGAGCCAGCCTCCTGGCCAAAAACTGACCCCTGGGCCCAAAATGAAACCCACCAAGCTGCTGCCATGGACCTGGGAAAGAGCCCTGGAAGGAGTACAAGTCCGATTCAAGAAGTTAGTTCTCCCCACCCCTCCAGAGGTGGTGATGGAACTCTGACCAACCTGGCAGAGGACCCTGAGAAAACCAATACCGACTCTGGCCCCCTGGTAAGTGGCCACATCACCCCGGTGACCATTCCCATAGAATGGTGGTCCAATCCTTGGATCAAATCAAGCTAGCCAGCCCTCCTGGACTTGGTTTGCACCAGATGCCTGCTCAACCCTGCCCTAGTTGAGAAGCTAGAGATCAGACTCAAGCAGCTTAAAGTGCCAGTGGCTTTCTGTCAGCTGGATGGCTCGGTAGCGGGAGGGTGGGTTGGGGGGAAGATCCCAGTGACATTCATCACTGAACCGATAGATTTGCGTATGGGGGCACATCCTGAGATTCTGAGTTTTATAGGGGCCCCTGACAGGAGAGACCACTGGTGTTGGGAATAGTGTGGCTGTTGAAAGGCAACCTTTATGTGAACTGGAGAAAGAGGCTGTTAAAAATGCAACAGATCAACCTGGGGAAAAAATCAGAGGAGAAACCAGGGGTCCCAAGATCCCAGACAGAAGATGGGAGCTTTGTCCCTAGAACAGAAGGAGCCAAATCCTTGAATCCCCAAAGAGTACCAAGACCTGTAGGATGTATTTAGTGAAAAAGTGTCGGATGCACTCCCACCCCATCAGCCCACTGACTGTTCCATAGTAATCTTGCTGGGGACCAAATTACCCAAACCAAGCTATACTCAATTATCCCTAGAAAACTGGGCAAGCTACGGACCTCCATTGACAAAAATCAAGAACGAGGGTTCATCCAACCAGCCTGTCCCCAGTTAGCTTCCCTGGTTCTATTCCAAAAAAAGAAAGATGGTCCAGAGGTGGTTTTCAGCCAGTTCACATTGGATCGGACGAACCGGTAGGAAGAATTTGGCATGGGTCACCGAACCGGTAGCAACATCTGGCTGGCCACGCCCATGACCTGGTCTCCTGGTCTCCGTTCACTTGCTCCACCCGCCCGATGCTCGCTCTCCCTGCCCACCCCACCCGTCCGTCTGCCGCTCACCCCACCCAGTCACTCCTCCCCTCCTGGGTCCTCGTCGCTTGCCATTCTAGCCTTCCCATCTGGTGCCTGCGCCCCAACTGAGCAGCCCTGATCTTCCTGCTCACAGGTAAGCCTGCAAGTCACACTAGCCCCTCCCCCACCACCCCCCAGACTTTTCCGGGCCTTCCCTCCCATTCCTGGATTTTTCTGGGCCTTCTTGTCCCCGGCCGGCTGGCTAAGCTGGTGTGGCTCCATCCCACGAGGCGCTTTCTCAGTTTTCCCTACTACGTGGTGCAGCGAGGGCGGGTAAATGTCCCAGCAGGGGGTGCTGAAAATTGTGCAACGCATGTGCAGTCCCGGCTGGGACATCCACCCACCCTGCCCTGCCCTCCCGCTGCTGCCGCCACCCGCAAGAAAGTAAACAGCTTCCGGAGGTCTTTGGGAGGGCGGATGGATGCTCCTGCCACTGCTGCTATTCTTGGAGCTGTTTTGGGAGGGCTGGAGTGAGGGGTGCTCCACGGCCCCACCACCACCTCTCCTTGCAAATAATGCAAATGATGATGAGGGAAAAGGGGATGGTTTGTAGGTTGGGACATTGTAGGGAAGCCGGTAAATTTTTAGTTTCGGAATTCCACAGAATGTGCCAGGTGCTATTCTAATAAAAGTACTTTGAGATGATGTGTGTCTTGGAGTTACTAACAGGAATGGATTTTCCCTGGAACGCTGACAGTATTCCAAAACTAAAAGACTTTTAGCACTCCCAAGAGGGGAGCTATCAGGGGTTGCTGAACCCCAGGATTTATTCCAGCTATGGAGTGATCCAAAGAATCAGCCAACACGGAAGGTGAGACAGAAGGAGCTTGGGGGGGGGGCTCTGGAAGATTAGCTGAATCCCCCAGCCCCCCCTTGGAGGAGATGTTGCAGGCACTGAGGCATGCAGAAGAGAGACAAGATTTAGGAGTCCCCATTACATCGGACAGCCAGAGGATTAAGTCCGGAAGCCAATCGTTAGTAGAATTACCAGAGAAATTCCAGCAACTTAAAAGTGGAAAGTTTTCCCAACTTAAGGAGGGAAGAGGAATTCACTCTGGTATCAGTTGGAGATAGCCAAAGTAACAGCCCAGCTCAGCAGAATCAAATTTCAAGGGAGAAATGAGTGATGCAAACTACAAAGGGTATGTTGCAACCTCCAAGTCCTCCCCCCAACACCCAGAAGAAAATTTACCCCCTACAGAAAGTATTCCTCCAGGGTGGGGATTTTATCCAGGCCAAGGGTGGATCCAGTGCCAATGGATGCCAGCGCCTGCAACACCCTGACCTCAAAGAGAATCAGCAATCCCTTCCCCACAAAGGGATCTGCACAGGCAGCAGATGGCAGCCACTCTCTCTTTCCCTACACAGGGAATAAGGCAACACCCACTCGGAGCAACCTTGCAGAGGCCCTTCTTCCAGAGAGCCTCAGCCGAGCCAGGCCTCGGAAGACCCTTCCAAAGTAGATACACTCCTCGTCAGCCTCCTTTCATTCCAG